CGGGGGCGGGTGGGGGGGGGGGAGTTACAAATAGGCTGTTGCGTCTCGCAGACACCTGCGCGCTGCGAGCTCCTTGCTTTACCTCGCAGCGAGACTAATCCGGATTGGAAATCAATTGCGATTGTTTAGTGTAATTAGCCAGTGGAGCCATTTCCCAAGGGCTGGAGTGCCCCCTTACTTGATACGGGCCCTCGCGACTGGATGGTTGTGCAGGAGAGAGGGGTTTTGTGGCTCTATGAAACTTCAGAAACTTCTGCGAGGAAAGCTCAGAGTCCTATGGTCCCGGTACCCAAATGGAGCTCTGGAGGCTGCTGCAGAGAAACCTGCCATTGTTAGCAGTGGGTGTTCTCCTTGCCAAAGCTCTAGCAGCCCTACATTAAAAGATTCTAAGGCAAGAAGGGACTTTCTGATTATATGGTCTGATCGCCTGTATAAATGGCCATAGAGCTTCCTGAAAATAATTCCTAGAGCATATCTTCTAGAAATATGCCCAATCTTGATTTTAAAATTCTCAATACAGGCAGTCCCCGGGTTACGTACAAGATAGGGACTATAGGTTTGTTCTTAAGTTGAATTTGTATGTAAGTCGGAACTGGTACATATTGTAGGGGAAACTCTAGCCAAACATTTCTCCAGAGCTCAGTTTTATTCTCCCACACCTCACTTCCCTCAGTCCTTTATTCTCAAGCTGAAGTGTCTGCTGAGAAAAGCCGCTCCGCGTCTCCCTGGTCTGCTGAGGGGGGCGCTAGCTTCGCGTCTCCCTGGTCTGCTGGAGGGAAGCAGCTAGTGCGGGGTTGCCTCACCCCGTTTGTAAGTAGGGATCCGATGTAAGTCGGATCCATGTAACCCGGGGACTGCCTGTAATCATAATTCACCACCATGATCTTTGGTGAATTATTCCAGTGGTTGATTGCTCTCACCTTTAATAAATTGTGCCTTATTTCTTGTCTGAATTTGTTTAACTAGCTTCTAGCCACTAAATTGTGTTACAGCTTTCTCTACTATTTAACTATTTAATAATTGAAGAGTCTATTATTTAACATTCCCCCAAGGGGCTCCCTGATTTCTAGCAGTGAGTTTCAGCTGACCTGATCAGTTGAGTTACCTCCACTCCCTGTTATAATCTGTAGTTAAAAGATGTAAATAAATATGTCATTGGAAAATTAATAACTCTGAAGTCATTAATATTTTGGCATGATCTATATCTGGGCAACTCACAAAGGATTATATAAAATTAGGATGAGCGAGTTGATAGTTTTTTTTCCAGACAAAGGAATGTGGGCTTTGTCAGCTTTAGTATGTCTACCATGTAAATTGAACAAGGTGTGACCAAAACCAAGAAAAGCTTATTAGCATGTCAGATACACAATTCCATAAGGAAAGCAAAGGGGGTAAAAATGATCGCAAAAGGGGACGCATTCTGCAGCTAGGAAACCTTCTTGCCTCTTGAAGTAACGTCAGTGAACTCTTTGAGAAATATTCTTTACAAGAGTTTACTGGATTTTAAAGAGTCTGGCAGAGAGCACCTAAGTTACCTTTCCCCTGAAGAAATAAGGAAAACCAGCACTGTGAATTCAGTGAGGATCCTGACTAAGAGCTACTCAGCCATTTTGGGGGTAGAAGAACGCTGGTGAAGAAACAACTCTGAATAAAGTCTATAGCTTGTTAAATTAGGCCCTAGCCATTCAGTATTTTTACTTTTGTTTGTAACATTTTTCTTCTTAATCCCAGATGGTCTCATTCACATAAAATCTCCCTCTTTTTGATCCAATAAACTTGCTTTACTTTAAACCAACCCATCCCTTAGATAGAATGGAAGTGATTATTAACTCTTGTCGAGATAACAAGCTGCTATTTCTGTCTCTTTAAAGGAGGGGCAAAGTTATTTTCTTTTTGTGTTCCAGGAGAGGGCTGAATGCTGCAGATTTGGGAAAACCTGGAACTTGCAAAGTGTGTTGGTGTCACTCTGCAAACAGTACCTGGGTGGTGGAAGACAGGATGTAAATGCTCAGCCCCCAGTGTTAACAAACTCAGGAAATACTAACTCAAGTTCTGATGACTTTGGGCTTAGAACTGCTTGCTTGTATGATAATTGTTGATGACCAGGCACTGAGTCATTGGAGCATAGCACTTAAGGCTCCCTGTTGCTGGGCAGGCAGTGACACAACTCTTGACTGATTTTTGACTGAACCCTAAAACATTGCACCCATGTAGATATTTATAGACTGTAATCACATTTCCCCCTTTAATTTTCTCTTTAAGGTAAATAATAGGGATTTAATAGTGTAGTTAATTTAACCGATTAGCAGAAGCTTATAGGTTAATGCTACAGACTACATGCAATTCCTTCTCTTCCCCCACCAGTAAATTTTTAGTAGGCTGGCTTAGTCCTGGCTCATGCTGCTGCAGCTCTGCATTTAAAGTGTATTAGGAACCAGGTGGGCAGGCAGCCTAACTCAGTTCTGGCTCGCACTGGGTCCAGGAGCTCACCCCACTTCTCCTGGGACAGGGGCTGCTGCCTCCCTGCGCTGCTGCCTTTGTATCAGAGGCAGCAGCACAGAGTGACAGTCAACTGGTCCACGAGGGGAGCTGGTTTTTAAACTGGCTTCCCTCACGGACCAGCTCCCTTCTGGCATTCCACACTACTGCCTCTAATACAGAGGCAGCAGCGTGTAGTGGCAGGGGCCTCCTTGGAGTGGGGCCGGAGCACACTGGCTGCCAGCTCCACCTTCAGGGACCATAGAATAGTCGAGTAACCAGTAAGAATTCATGAGGTTACTCGACTATTCAGTTAACTGATATTTAACATCCTTACTAAACAAACTGAGCTCTTTGAGTGTGTCTGCATTGCGATGTAAGCCCAGTGTTATCAGATCATGAGTTAGCATTTCCTGTGTTTTGTTAATATAGGGGTGGAGCATTTACACTCACCTGAAATCCCAGTGTAGGAATTGTTGAACATTGGGCCCTAGCCTGGGACTCCATCATCTACACTGCATATTCTGAACTAGACACCCTAGTACCCTCCCAAAATATGGCCACTTCAGCCCTTAGTGCAGTGTTTCCCAACCAGGGTTCCACAGACCCCTAGGGTTCCGCAGACCATCGTCACAGGTTCCGTGAGTAATCGTGGAATGAATGAATAAAAAAGAATTTTCTTACAATGTAAGCTGATAAATATATATAACAGCTCTTTACAAAAAAATGTTCTTGACAATAATTTAGCAGTAATTGAATTGAGTTCCCCGCTGTCAACTTTTTCTGGCCAAGCAAATGTTTTCATATGTAGGGGTTCCTCGGGATATGAAAAATTATTTCAGGGGTTCCTCCATGGTTGGGAATCACTGCCTTAGTGTATGGTGCAGTGTGAGAAAATTTGACTGTCTCCTACTTGTAAGTCTTCTATTTGTGCATTCAAGGATCTCATTTGCTCTTTAGACCACAACATCACATTGGGAGCTCATGTTAGGCTGATTATCCACAGCAACCTCCTATGAAAGGGTAAGCTTTCTTATGGCTGGGCATGGCATAACACAGGGCTACTCAATATGTGGTCCGTGGGACACATCTGGCCCGCAGCACATTTGCATGAAGCCCGCGGTGCAGTTTGAGTTTACGCAGGACTGGTGGGGCCGTAGGACGAGGTTTCTATCCTCAGCCTCCCCCAGTGTACCTTGAGCCACTTCCCAGGCTGCCCTGAGTTCAAAGACTTGTATCTACCTGACAGCAATTTAAGAAAAACTAAGATATATTCCTTACTGGAAGGTTTCCATACTCAACAACATAGGCATGTGCACGGGGTGTGCCGCAACCCCTCACTTTTCCTGCGGCCATCTACGGGGCATTTTGGCACAGAGAGAGCGCATGCGTGACGGAAGCAGCTGGGACCCGACCACAGATGCCAGCCTGAGCCATTTTTTTGCCCCGGGCCCTGCCTGGCCCGGCAGCACCATGCAGCGCCTCTTCTGCGTGCAGGGGCCCGGCCCTGCCCGGCCGCACCGTGAGGCGCCCCTTAAAGTGAGGCGCCCTGGGCTAGGACCCGGCCGGCCTGTAGCTTAGGCTGGCTCTGACTCCAGCCCCACAAACAGGAAGGCAGAAAGCTGGCTTAGCCTAAAGGAAGGGGGAAAAATAGGAAGCAGGTGTGGGAGAGGAAGGGGCTTGTGCTGAGGGGAGGGGGACAGGTCAGAAGAAGAAAGGGGAAGGCACTAAGGGACAGGGTAGAGGAGAGACAAATGCCAGGGGGCCAACTGGAGACAATGAGGAAAAGGGAAGGAGGGGCGGTGTCAGTGGGAGGGGAGACAGGCTGATGCTGGGAACAGTCTGAAACCCACTTAACAGTGCATGAATGTATGTGCTCTTATTCCACATAGTGTAGGCATCTTTGCATTTAGCCCTGAAAACAAAATTGGTGGTGTGCCTCAGTTTCCCTTTTCACATCACACACCAATTTTGGAATTCCCCTTTCTCAGGTGAGAAGCTTTAACACTAATTACAAGTACTAACAGTATAATACCAGTGTTACAAGGCCAGGAAGGTGCAGGGGTAAGGGAAGGTACAGGGGCCAGGGGATTCTGGGGGGTGAAGCAGAAGGGTAGACACCTGCAGGGGAGGGACCAGCACCAGAGGAGAGAGGCAGGGCAGGTGTGTAGAGGGAGGTGTTAGGAGCAGAGATGAGGAGGGGTAGCTCACATGATCAGAGTGGGCGGGGGGGGGGGGGGAGGGGGGGGAGGGACCAGCACCAGAGGAGAGAGGCAGGGCAGGTGTGTAGAGGGAGGTGTTAGGAGCAGAGATGAGGAGGGGTAGCTCACATGATCAGAGTGGGGCTACTGGAGGAGTGGGCACAGGGGGGCAAGAAGGGCTGGTGGAGGGGGGCAGGTCTCAGGAAGGCTGAGGGCAGTG